TGCTTGTGTACATATTTCAGCTTTGCTTTGACCCAACTGTATTTCTCCAATTTGTGTCTAGCTGTATCTTTGGAGAATTCTGCATGTATGTTTGTGCAGATACTGTAATATACAAAAAAAAATGGGTCAGTGTATATGAAGATGCATATATGAACACATCTGGTTCCGGTCTGTCTCGATTGTGTATATGTGTGTTGCTAGAAGCTTTCAGTCTCTCTTTGGGGGATTGCATCACGGGGCAGCTATCAGACCTGAGTCATCACAGAGGTTGAGAGGCCCTCTGAAAGCTTTCCTTCCTCTTTTCTACTATATGCACAAATTTCTTTTGGTCATACAGTTGTATGTTGTTTTTATGAACACTAAGGTATGACAGAAAAGGAAAATTTACTTTCAAACCAAGCCACACACTCTCGTAGCTCATTGGTGTATTCCTGACTGTTTTAACAGTGAAACATGTCCATGTGTTGGTTCTTTAGTAACATAAAAACGGATGCTTTTCCAACAATAAGTCATGCTGTTCTTGCAGATGCTGGTTATTATTTTCAGTAGTTAATCCCAGTTTTAGCTTCATCATGTGTCTAGAAAGCAACACAGGCTCAAATATAGACATGCATTCACTTGAATTTTTTAGGTGGTGCTGACGGTTTTACGATGTCTTAACTTGACAAGGTCAAAGTCTATTAATGCCGTTAGTGATCATGATTGATTGATTACAACTGGAAGTTTCTCTATGCCAGGTAAGGGTTTGTTGGACGGCACTCAATGGACTGACCAATACTCGGAACAATGGGAACGCCCAAAAACCTTAAAGTTTGAGTGAAACTTAGAGCTGCCCACATCATAAAGACAAATGCTTTTTGGTGAAGTTTTCTGGTCAGACTAGACAAAGACTGAGCCATATGGCGACAATGACAAAAGGTATGTTTGGAGGAGTAAATGTGAGGCTTTCAAACCTAAAAACACTGTACTGACTGTTAAGCGTGGTGGAAGCATCATGTTCTGGGCCTGTTTTGACACTAATGGAATTGCAAAAAGTAGATGGAATCATAATTATTCAACTTTACTTTACATCAGCAGGTAGATGGTCGAAACCTTGACACCACTGGTTTTTCCAACAAGACAACAATCTCAACACTCAACATTAGGCTTCTTGAGTAGTTTTCTCAAAAGCTGATTTCAACCCTGTTGCAAAATTTGTGGACTGTACTTAAAAGCCAGGAAACCAACCAATTTAAATTAACTCAATTCTGCCAAGAAGAGTGTCCAAATATCAAGCCAGAATTATGCTATGAGTTTGTTGATGGTTACTAAACTTACTAAGCGATTTTAACATAATATTAGTGGAGGTCTATGGTATGTACAACTTTGACCCTGTGTGGATTAGAGAAAATGCCATCAGTCTAGTAACTGGTGATTTCTGGTTGATTTGCGTGTGTGTGTGTGTGTGTGTGTGTGTGTACCAGAGTACCACCAGCCATGCATGGTTTCAAAAAATATTTGTTTACTTGGCAGTTTTGTTCAGTTTTAGAGTGATCTTAATAAAACAGGTGCACAGTCATAGAATGTAAATTGGCAAAGATGGTGATACAATGCTTTTAAATGGTTAGTGCAAAGGAGTTCTAATTTACCAAAAGAAGAGCACTTTTGTTGACCCTCACAGCCCTAATGTGCAAGGTTTAAAAAAAAAAAAAAAAAAAAAAAACCAACAACAAAACAAACTCGCTACTAAACAGTTTGATTAAATCACATGTATGATGCGTGCAGCCTTCCTGGGACTTTCCTTGCTTGCCAACAAACTGTGACGTATGCATGGGAGTGTGTCCTGGTCTCAGTGAGGGTGAATGCAGTGACAGTGAGGGGGTGTGTGGGAACAGCTGTGCAGGCTAGAGACGGTTAACAATAGAGAGCTTTCATACTACACATTCTGCTGCAGCGTGTCACCAGACAGTCTTTCTTTTTCACTTCCCTCTGCTTCCCACTCGTTTTCCTTCACATCTCACATCCGTCTGTCTCTTTCTCCCTATCCCACACACACTCCCACATACTTGCCACTGCCCATGTTCAATCATACACTTCTCCCTTGCTCGCTCACTCTCCCCCTGTCTCCCCTCTCTCCCAGCCTTACTCTTTCCCGCTCTCTCCCCAAAGTTTCCCGCTACCACTTTAACCACTATTTCCTCCTTTCTTCCGAGGAACTGTGCTCATTTTGTCATCACACCTCACCCACACATGTATAAGCACACGCATCCTGCTTTTCCCAGAAGAAGTAAGGGGGGAAGGGGAAGTTACTTCAAGGATAAGGTAAAGCTCCTCTTGCCTTTCCCAGACGGGGTGTGTCAAAGCTTTTGTCTGTCTGATGCTATATTAAATATCAGAGTTGAAAGGAGCGGTGTGATGTGTGTGTGTGCATGTGTGCAGAAGTCTCTAGCTTTTTTGTTCTTTAGAGAGAAAGAATGTTGGCACAAAGCGAGCCACTACGGGAGAAGTAGGAGGTTGGAGTGCTGAAGTGCCAGCCCAGGTCTGTTTCATTTCATTTGCACTGTAATGAGTCTTGTTACTGCTGTAAGCTGGGAGTTAAAAGTTAAGCCACATAAAGGGAGGAATGCAGGTAAGAAGGGAGGGAAGGTGAACACAAAAGAAGGAAAAATGGACAAGCCTCCGAACGTTCACCTAAAAACTTGCGAACATTTTGGAACAAGAGGAGCAATAAAGAGAAACTTTTTTTGGGGGGGGGGTTGTTGTCTTTGTCCTCTTCACTGTGCCGCACTCTTTCCAAACGTGCCCCCTCTTGCATCGAGCTCTGAAAAGAAACTTAAGCACAGATCGTCAAGAGGTCTGAAAAAGTTGGCTGTGTTTGTGCATGACTGTGCGTATGTGTGTCTACTTGAGTGCCTCGGAGGGAGCGCGTGTGTGTGTGTGTGTTGTGTGCGCGCCTAGGTCTGTGTGGGAATGATTACATCAGCCTGCTGCAGCTTTATGATTGGTTAGTGAGCGTGTGGTTTGATTCAGTGTGCCTCAGAGCCCATGGCTGAGGCTGTAACCCTTTGTGAGGGAGAGAGAGAGACAGAGCATAGTTGTCAGACTCAACCGGCACTGGAAGCACTCTACTGTACCATCTGATTGCCGACTGCTTCAGTGTCTTCGTCCTGTGCGCTGTATACATACCGGCATTAGGTCACACAGACAGTTTGTTCTTTTCCTTTCCTTTCCTTTTTTCTTTTTTGGAGACTGCAGTCTACAGATAGACTTGAGGACTAGCCTCATGACAGGTAGCACAACTGTCAGCTGTTGGCATTCAAATTGGTACCTTTCTTTCTGGAGGACACAGGGCGACAGAACAGCGAGGTTTTCTGTCTTATTGACTATATTGGAGTGAGTGCGCTTATGTGAGTGTTTGTGGGAGCCGATTCATTCCGAAAATGCCTTCGTGTTCCCCGGACTGCTGCCTATTGCGGGCCGTGGAGGTAAGACCCCTCTTCCTGTGTCTCATTTCTCTTTTCGCCTCCCTCTCCTCTTTTTACAATTTAAGACATTTTCTCTTTGAAGTACTTTCACGTTAAACCTGAGGCAGGAAATGTAATGTGTAAATACTGTTAAGGCCGAAGACATTTTTCTTTTTTTTCTTTTTTTCCCTTTTCCAAGATGTGAGCAGAGCAAAAGGATCCAAATACGTCAGCACCCTTGAAAAGGGGTATATGCTCCATTGCGTTTCATCTTAAACATTTTTGATGGGCAGAGTGCCTTAGGCCTGGCTTGTGCAAACTGTGATGCTATAAGCTGGGTATTTGCTCAGGAAGAGAACAGAATTTCTTTGTCATGATATTATGTGGGAGGCATGCATACATGTGAAAGCTTAGCCTACACAGGAATCCAGCCTACTAAGGGCTGCATTTGTCTGTAGGTTAAGTAGGTTGCTCTAGTTTCTCTGGGGGCCATTAGAAATGTATCAAGTAAATGTTAACACATGTTGTCCTGTTTATTAAAAAAATGGCTCTGGGAACTTGGACTGTCAAAATCCCCTGGATTATGTGGTGGAATAAAAGGCTTATCCACAGTATAGATGTAGTGCTACTAATGCTAATATTAGACGCCTGGATAGTGATGGTAGGCTCTCACACAGATGGGATATTAGAGGAAGGTTTTAGCTGTTCAGCACCTCATGCATTATTGCTGTACAGCAATATATAGAAAGATCAGTGGAGTAGATGTGTTTACATTTTATGCAGAGGTGTAACAGCGCTCCAAATTTGTTTGTCCTTTTTGTTTCGTACAAAATAAAAACAAATTCCACCTCAACCATCTCCAAATATTACAACCTTCCCCAAACGAGCATGCTTTTAATAGAAATATGGGTTTTATTGATATTATTTATTTTTGAGCTGGCTAGAGTACTATTACCAACGTTCATGATGCTACTGTGTGAAATGCGTTATTAAAGAAAGTAAACAATTTAACAACAGTCAGTTCGAGTTAAGACAGTTTTGTTTGAGGTTAAGCTGGAAAGCACAGTGTTCGTATTCCTCATCTTTTATATACTGTAACTTAAAACTGTGCTTACTTCTCTTTGAGCTGTGTTCAGTACGTACCCATTTGGACCGGCTTTGTGTTCACAAGAGCGGACACTTGTTATGCACTGGAGTGTATTTGCTTTTGTATTACATCGACAAGTTGCTATAAGAAAATCTCATCTGTTATTTCTAACGCCACAATTACCGTATAGTTTTGAATGTCTGTTCTTTTCTATTGTGTGCCGTAATTACAAGGCTGCGTATGCTATAGTGCATAAGGTGCTATATGAGAAACCGTATTGCAGTGTTTGAGGAAAATTGCTGGCTTCACCCACCTATTAGACTCTAGTGTTCAAAAAAAGGATTTGTGTAAAAGTCACGATGGGTTTACTGTAAAAGTTTCTTCTCACTTTTTTTTAGTATTTCGTTTGTCAGACTACCTTCATGTGATTTCTGTTCACTCAAACTGAAACCTTGGATTTCTTGTCACAGATTGTGAAGATCTTCAGTGAAGACGGCATGGGTAAAGTTGTGGAGATCCCAGCCAACATGACAGCCAGGGACCTGTGCCAGCTCCTGGTTTATAAAAGCCATTGTGTGGATGACAACAGTTGGGCACTTGTTGAACACCACCCACTGCTAGGGCTAGGTAAGGAACAGAGCTGTAGAAGCCTGAAAACATTCTCAGTCTCATACACAGACACACATACCCGTGAGCACACATGAACAGGCACATTTTCCCACACAGAAACCCATGGGCTCATGGGTGGGCTCAGACTTGCAATTCAATCACTGAGTTACAGGTGCATTGATATTTATGCATGCATGCCCGTATACTTGGCTGGACAGTTGAGGCGCTGATTCTTACCCAGGCGTGTATTCAAGCATGAGTGCATGCTAGAAAGCATATGCATGCATGAAGCCAAAAATTCCATTGATCTTATCCAGTATCACGCAGTGGCTGTGTGGAAAGTTGCAGTAGCCGATAGGAGGGTTATTTTAGTACTGACAGGTTAATTATTTTCACATTCAATAGAGAAGAGACAAAAGATTATTTGGGGAAGAAATATCTAAAAGAAAGCTCAAAACCGAGCAGTTAAATGAGAGCAAAAGACAGTCTAATCTCCATGTGTGCACGATTACATTAAAATCAATATCTTGAGGTTCTTTTAGTATGCTTTTTATTGTTGTTTAATTTTTGAGAAAGTAGTTCCAGTGCAGAGTAATTATATTGGACGTCCTGATATTTTTAACTCTGGCAGACTGATTTAAGATCAAATAAAAACAATACAAAACAATCATAATGGGAATGGACAAAGAATCCAGGACACTTCCACCTGTCATTATGAGCCCTGATCTATTTGTTGGGAAATATTTTGACCTAAAATGTGATTACAGTTGATACGGTTTGAGAGGTTGGTGGTTATGTGTTAGCAGATGGAGTTGTTTAAAGCTTTTGTTACTAGACCTGCTATTGTAACTGATGGAGAGGTGAAGCCAATGAGTGCACCAGATGCTGACCTGATGGGGATGATTTTGCTGCTCATTAGTAGGGACATGTGTAGTGTGTTATTATGTTCTTCTTGTATTTAGAGGTAAACACTGCTGAAGTTATTCAAAAAGGTGGAAAGAAGGTAACGCAGTGCGGCCGACTTGGCTTAACATTTACCCCGATTTGCTAAAAAGTTTAAGAATGTGACATTTAGTTTCGAATACTACCAAACTACTAATGTAGCATTATAAAGACACAGCTCTATTTTAACTTGGTGCTGCATTAAGAAGGCCGCAGAGGTTTACATTTATGTCCGGGTGATTTTTGTGCTAGACTCAGCAGTATAAGAGGGGCTTTGGAAGGTTGTGGCCAGCTGACTGTTTAAGAAAAAAGGAAAGAAACCCCCGAGGAGGGGGCAATTATAAAGCACTTATGAGAGACAAGTTGAGCCTGTGCTCTCTGCTCATGTCTGCACAGTTGAACAGATGTGGGAGAGAAGGGGGTGTAATTTTATATAGAGCTGCATGTCTGGAAGTGAAGTGCACAGTAGACAGAAACACGGTTTAACACACCAAAAAAAGACATTTAATTTATGAACCAGTAACTTGTGTCAGTATATTTGTGTAGTTTTATTTATTTTATTTTTTTGTGCTAGCTGTTAATGTTGTCAGGTGAGGAAACTTGGAATAATACGATCTGTTCTCTGCAAGTAAAAGTCCCAAAGCTCTAACCTTACATTTCACCATCTATCATGATCTGCTTACATTTCTCATCACTCCTGCCAGCACCTTGCTGCCAAATACAGTTAAGTTGGCTTATTGTGAGTGACATCATTTTTGGCTGGGAGCCCTTTATTCTGTTCTGGCACACCTGTACTGCAACGCTGTTCTTTTCAGGTCTGGAATTGCTACTTATCATCTCCAGTGTTTAGACGTTTCAGTAAGTGAGACGTCAGCGTGCCGTTTGTTAATGTTATACTTGCTTCACTCCATTTGTATGTGTGTTCTTAAAAAAAAAAATCAAAGTAAGCTCAGTGTATGCATCACAACACATTTGCTGACACATTTCCATATATGTGGCTCTCGTCAGTATTTTTGAGTAGCTAACAGATGTGCTTAATTGCTTGTCACAGGCCATAATTACATTTGTTTACTTTATTCTCCCTCAAGTATTGATTTTGGGTTGTTTTTTTTTTTTTTTAATAGCCTTGTGGCCATAAAAGACAAAATTGCATTTGTGATAAATGCAGTTAAGTATTTGATGGAACGTTTTAATATCCAAAACTCGGTTCGGTAGCTGTTTGCTGATATTTAATTGCGTGAGAGGTGCTGGCCACTGTAATTTGTGCATTAAATATTTCTTTCATATAGTGAAATTGAATTGTAGCAGTATGTGAGACTCCTGCCTCCATTTGCGTGCGCACCCCCGCTTTATGTCGGGTCAGCACACACGGCATGTGATCCCGAATGTGTGCACATGCAGTTGGACGGTAGACGAGAATAGATGTTTCCGGGAGTCTAGAACAATACGGTGCCTATTCCTGCTGCCCACTCTTGCTATGCTGCTGAATGGCCCTTTGAGATAAGTAACACTGACCTCTGCTAGTGGGTTTGCAAAGGTTAACAACTATCAGGCGGGGAGGTGGGGCTGCCAGGGTGAGTCACGGTCACGAACATGAGTGACTCATCAGACAGGCAACAGGATTAAACGGAAAGAGAAAGATGAGTCGTGACAGAGTGGAGATTGTGGCCGCGGGGGTAAAGAGGAGGGGGCTCATGGAATGAGATAATAATGTGAGATGAGTTTACTGAAAAATTGCTCTTGAGTATTCCTTTTTTTACATGAAAGAGTTGTGTCTGATCTGGTGTCTAATGGTCCTCAAAAAGTTTGGTAAGTTCCACTATTTAATTAGATGCACTTGAAAAGGCAGGATGTCTTTAATTTAAGACATGACAGGACTCGGAGGCTGTAACCGTGTGACTCATGTTCCGGTCCAATGTGTCACAATCAGAAACTCTAAATCAGCAGGACCTCTGACTCCACATTCCTTCAAGGACACTTTTAGTTGATTCGCAGATTTAACCATTTATTTAGTAGCACTGAGAGGCACTGGGCACGAACCAATAAAGCACATCTGTAGTTTAGTGATTTATATGGATATATACTACATAGGGAATATATAAACATACATATGCCAGGAATCACTACAGTTTGATGCTGTGAGAAATCCTATTGTGATTCCATTCTAATCTGAGATTCTATTCGGTGCTTAATTGAACTGTCAGATGTACAAATACTTACATTTGTGGGATTAGCATAAAGTATTTGTATATCCCATATAGATGTTGGCACTCAGTGCCCTAAGCAATATTTATGCAAAGTTTAATCAAGATTGGTCCACTCGTCAGCGACAGAGATGGGGAACATACGGACATATGTACATTGCAATTATTATAATGACATCCTGTCCTTTTTTATCTTGGGAAAAGATGAGATGACATCATACTGCTTCTATGTTTTGTTTTTGTTTTTTTAAATTTAGACCAAATGACTGCGATTGATTCCTTTCTGGCTCTGCTGTGTAGTAGTAGTAAACACGGTTACTTCTAATTGTAAAAGATTCCTGGTTTGAGCACGGAAGGAGACGCAAACTCACAAGCTAGCTAGTGTACTCCTCATGCCGGTGCCAAGCCTGTACAAATGGGAGGGTTTCATTAGGAAGGGCATCCGGCGTAAAATCTGTGCCAAATTAAACATCCACCGTGGCAATCTCCTGGGAAATAAGGGAGCAGCCGAAAGTACCCCACTGAGTTTTTGTTTGTTTGTTTTTTTCTCCCCCCTTTAAGTTTAATTTCTGGTTTACAAGAAATGTTGATGACTAATATTTCTCTTGTTTAATTATTTAAGTTTGGTGCGAGGGTGTTTGTGAGATGTTGAAGATGTTTTCGGCCAAGCTTGTGAAATTAGCTTGACTTTCTCTTCCCGTCTCCTCTCAGAGCGCTGTCTAGAAGACCATGAGCTGGTGGTTCAGGTCCAGGCCTCCATGAACAGCGACGGTAGATTCCTCTTCAGGAAGAACTATGCCAAATATGAATTCTTCAGAAACCCCCTGGTAATTATTTTTCCTGACACACTTCTTTACTTGCCACGTCACTCGTGACGGCATCTTGTTGAAATACAGAGCCTGTAAAAACAGCAAATTTGAGCCAACTTAACCTTGCAGATTATTTCATAATTACAGCAGACTGCAATAATGAAAGTAGTCACCTGTGCTTCTGTCACAAAATCTGACACTATAATTATCGTCACAGTATCTGTAATTCTGCCTCTCTCTCTCTCCACACCTCCTTCTTTGAACAGACGTTTTTCCCAGAGCACATGGTCGCGTGGTGCCAGGAAACTAATCATGCAATTCTACCATCTCAGCTCCTTCAGGTACGTACAGCTCACACACGCTGCAGTCTCGCTGCTCTTCTTAACACGCAAACAGTTTCGTTTTCAGAGTCAGCACCTGCTACATACATACTGTACAATCAAGCTGGCATACCTCACCTCTGACCCTTAGACAGTGTGTCTCGTCAGAGCCTGCAGTAATAACTAGTGTTGATCCCCTGTTGACACGACTGTCTCGGCGCACACCACAGGTCCGGCTCTTGTGATGGATGGAATTAAGCCATCAGAAATAGAACGCAGAGTTTCGGATCTACCCTTGTGCGGTTGGGAATTTTTATTTATTTATTTTTACTTTATTTTTTTTATTGATTGAAATACGAGCAAAACACAGCTGAATTGAATTTTTTAACAGTGTCTTTTAAAATGTACAGACAGCGGAATGAATGATGGGGCAAAAAATAAAATATCTTCTAAAACATTTACCTTTTTAATGTTGTGGGAGGTTTGGGGTGGGGGCAGGTTGTGGACTGGAGGATTATGATGGTAATTCGGTGAGCCGCTTTTGTGAAGGAGGCTGGTCGGATATATTAAGATGCTTTTTTTGTCAAAGCTGTAGTAGCAACCAAAATGAAAAAACTTGATAGGTTTGCTGAAGTTTTTTAGTGGACTTTCTCTAATGTAGTTACAAATATGTGCTGTCGTTTTAATTTGCAGTGGGTGTGTCCAGTGGCTTCTGCTTAGTGGACAAAATTGTGCCTGTCAGTATCATCATATTCAGAGCTTCAGATCCAACTCGCAGCTGTACATGTTAGGAAATTATTCATGTTTTTATCACAGATGCTGTAAATGGCTGTCAGAAAAGCTGGCTGTCGATACATGTTAGATGTTGAATGATCCTTTCTCCAGACTTCTCACCCTTTAGGAAATCTGTAAGGACTTAGACAGGTTGGGCCGAGGCAGGTTTATATTCGTGGGATTTCCTGTGTATAAATCTCCAAATATCTTTATGTTCATACATCCATCTTCTGAGTGTCTCTGCAATAGGATTTAAACAATTTGCGTAGTTCCATAGTGGAAAATTTTCAAATGGTGACCTTTTGGTTAGAATGACTCGGGCCTCGAGCCATGTGTTCTGTTTTGGGGTTCTAGGTAATTACACTCAGTTTGTTTTTATTAGCCAAGTTGGGATCTGCACCTACCTGTTGTATGTTTTCTCAGTACTGTTTCCACATGTGTGTCATGTGTACTTTTTGGCTTCTCACTAATACTCCCAATATACTCTTTACAAATATCAAAAAAGAGAAAATGTCTGGTAGGAGATTTTTTATTTATTTATTTTTTTTTTTGAAATATCTTAATGGGATTGGCTGGCGTTCTCCTGCATCATGTAATGGAGCTGTCAGAGTTAAAATCACAAGTGGAATCCATCACTTCAAGGTAGCCACTCACAGAAAGCTTTTAAGTCCGGCTGATCATATAGAAGTTATGCGCACTTATCCTCTGCATAGAGGAGTTAATAACTGGATCGGAATGAGGTGAGCTGGAGTTGTCAGGAATTTCCAGAGCCGGAATTCTTCCAAACACAAGATCTTTGCACTCAATTAGAGTCCTGTGTAAACCAAGGGGCTCTCTAATCCTGAGCTCCTCCAGGTGTTTGCAATATTTGGCATTATGCAAGATGCATGTGAGTAAGTTACTGAAGCGAACGGCCTCCAAGGGACAGCTCTTTGTATTAACGTTCCGTGTGACTGTGCAGAGTTTGGATAATGTTCATGCACGAAGCCTAATGTCAAATTGTTTCCAAAACACTGGGAAACACATGCTTTAAATATTCAAAAGTACTGTGGAACAGTTTGCCTTTACCCGCAAGCCACAGATTCCAGATCAGCTTCAGTAACTTGACTTGCAGTTCACGGTGAAATGCTTTCCTAAAACATGGAAACCACAAACACCCAATTCTTCAAACACCTATAAGACAAGTTAGGCTTCCCTGTAGAAATGCACGATTTTCATTTTAAAGCCACAAAACACAACAGGACACAGTTTTAATGGAGTTTTTCTTTTGAGTTTAACAGACATATCTTTTCCAAGCAGTATTAGTAAATTATGCATATACTGTTCTCTTATTTTTTGTAATTAAATGTACAAATGTCACTATCAGGATTGTGACAGCCTTTGAGTTTTCACACATTGTCACAATGAGCCTCCTGTCTTTGATACCCCTACAGATGGTGCCAGCTTTCTGCCTGTGGTAGTGACAGGGGGTTCAAAGGCTTCAGATGTAATCTGGCTCCTTTTTACAAAAGAAATGACAGAGGGAATAAATTGTTATTTATTTGCATTTTCCTGCTCCCTGTTTTAGAACTTCCTAGCCACCAACAGCTGTCCAGAAATCCAGGGGCATCTGTACATGAAGGACGTGGGAAGGAAATCATGGAAGAAGGTTTACATGTTTCTGCGGCGCTCAGGGCTCTACTGTTCTACAAAAGGAACCTCAAAGGTAACGGCGGCTCGCTCCATTCATCTCAGACGCGAAATACAGTCCACCTTAAATGTAATCTCCTTGAAAGAAACTCCGTATTATTGACGGCCGAGTTGCACACGCCTCTGTCTGTTCGTGTGCCTCCGGGCTGTCTCCTCTCTGATATTTTGATTTATTAATTTCTGTCTCCAGGAGCCCAGACATCTACAGTTACTAGCAGACCTTGAGGACAGCAACATCTTCACTGTCATCACAGGCAAGAAGCAGCACGGCGCACCCACAGACTACGGCTTCTGCATCAAGGTGAGACGCAAGTGAGATGAAACAGATTTTATCTAATTATGAAATAGTGGAATGATGAAATATTATGAGCTGAGTATGATTCATATCCTGTGCCGTTTCTTGTCTCAGTGGAACTGGTTTATCAGCGCAGCAACTTTTTTTTTTTTCCCTCCCTGTGATTTATGAGTTATAAACTCAGATGAACTGTCTTTGGTTTTGTTGTTCATATCATCTTTCTCTCTCCAATTAATAATAATGGTGATAGAAGTGGTGTCAAAAATAAGAGTTTGATGCAGTGAGCGTAGTCTCTGTTCTGATTGTGTAAATTGTTCATTGGCAGCCTAATAAAAGCAGAGGGGATATGAAGGAGCTGAGAATGCTGTGTGCAGAGGACGAACAGAGCAGAAGCTGTTGGATGACTGCTTTTCGAATCTTTAAGGTAATTCTGCACTGCCTACATCACAGTACAGCCAACATGACTTCTAGCATACTTTTAATTCTTTGTAATGCAAGTAATTTGATGGCCTTTATTCACTACTCTGTTCCTTTTCCTTTGCAGTATGGGATCGTATTGTACCAGAATTACAAGATTCCTCAACAAAGGAAAACTTTACTTTCACACTTTTCAGCTCCTGTGGTAAGTTTACTGGAGTGATTATGCATGTAAGGATATAGTCTGACTTAGTTTAGGTAAATGATCTGCCTTCGTATGTAGTCTGTCTGCACTCTTGTATTTTGACTGTCATGTGTCTTTGTCTCCCTCTAGAGGAGCGTATCAGAGAACTCCCTCGTGGCAATGGATTTCTCAGGGAGGATAGGCAGAGTGATTGACAACCCGGTCGAAGCTCAGAGTGCTGCCATGGAGGAGGGGCACGCGTGGCGGGTGAGAGATGCTCGGCTTTTTGTTACCTGTTAGGTTTTTTGTTTTTGTTTTTTAATGATCCTTGCAGTTCTGTTTATGTTTGCTCCGATGATTATAGAGAGTTAGTTGGAAAAATTCATTTAACTTATAAATGTACAAGGTGACTTTTAAGTACTTGATTTAGGCTGTCTGAAATTCCATTTTCTGTCCAATTGTAAAGGAGACAATGATCAGGTTCCACAGTCTTAAAATTAGACCATGCGTTCACCACATTTGATCTGATCTTTCCTTAGCCTGTTTACTGTTTTAGTGATTGTTTTTCACTTAAAGTTATCAGAATTATGTTAAGAAGCTACAAATTGCTGCTGTTTACTGTCGCTCAAACAGACCATGAACTAAACCACATTGTTTTGTCTCTGTGTGGCATCTTTCTCAGAAGAGGACTCAACGAATGAACATACTGGGGTCCAACAGTCCATTACACCACTCCTCACTAAGCTCAGGTAAATGCAAAACAGGAAAAAAAACTTGCAACTGCTCCCTAACTTTGCATATTCTTTCTGTGTATATAATGTTATTTTATAAAAATGTACTTTAAAAAAAAAATGTTATTCTCTGCAGTCATCCACATAGCTCAGCTCTGGTTCCATGGCAGGATAACCAGAGAAGAGTCCCACCGCATTATCCACCAGCAGGGACAAGTAGATGGGTAAGTAAGCTGGCAAAGCTTTTTTCTTTATATATTTTTACACTTATTTATTTATATATCGGTGTGTCTATATAGATATATAATCTGTAACACTAAGTGAAGGCTTTTACAACATTTCGTCTCCTTTTTTGTCGCACAGGTTGTTTCTGCTGAGAGTCAGTCAGAGTAATCCCAAGGCGTTTGTGCTCACATTGTGCCATCACCAGAAAATCAAGCATTTCCAGATCCTACCGGTAAGACTCTCGCTTACTTGTTACATGTCTCGTGCGTGTTTGTATATTGTTGCACCTGATGGCTTTACTTTACTGCATTTAAGTGCTTGCCAAATCTATTAAACCACAATTAAAGTAAGTAAACACAAGAGTTTTAGAACTCTGTCAAAAATTAATCAAGTATAATTCCTGTTCAGGTATGTAAGTAATGAACTCATTTTTTCCCCTTAAGATGCCAAATTAAATGTTTGTTATTGTTTTCAACTTTTTTTTAAAATACAATATTAAATTTGGACCATTACAGAAAGAAAAATATTATTTGATAATTACAAGCAGTTGTTGTTGTTGTTGTTGTTGTTTAGGGCAGCTGTGGCATAAAACTCACACTGGGTGTTGGTCTAATACGTTTGTTAAATACTGCATCTTCCATGGTAGCTTAGTCTGTTAACCCTGTAATGCCAAGTGTACCATAGTTATGAGTGTTTGTGATCTTTAAACCACCAGTGTTTTTATATTTTATATTTTTATTTATTTTTTTATTTGTATGTATGGTATGTAGCCGCTGCACGGCGTCAACGTCATTTTAACGATATTAACGCTGACAGCACTAATATAAAAAACTAAATTGCACAGAAATTCCAAATGTGGCAAAATCAAAACACATATATGCAAATTGATATTTAATTTTTAAATTTGTCATAAGGTTCAGTAATCACTCCACTTGATGATCCAGGCTTTTCAGGGTTAAAGCATTATTTCATAAGCTATGTTAAAAAATGCACCGATCAGACATTTCAAATTATTTTGTTGATCCATAAGAGGAAAGTCTGATGTTGTCTTTTCCACCTCTTCCCTCCCTCTGCCGTTCGCTCTCGCCTGTGCCGCCAGTGTGAAGAGGATGGCCAAGGCTTCTTCAGCCTTGATGACGGCGCCACCAAGTTCACCGACCTGATTCAGCTGGTGGAGTTCTACCAGCTCAACAGAGGAGTGCTGCCTTGCAAACTCAAACACCCGTGCACCGTCGTGGCCTTATGACACCTTCGGATCACATGACCCCGCCCCCCAACACTTGACCTGACTCTGCCTAAAATGAAAAGAATCTCCCCGTTGATCGTTTCTTTTTGTTTTTATCTTTGTAAGAAGCTGGTGAATTGACTGACGTTGTTGTTGTTACACTTGTTTTTATATTGTTGTGAGCTTGCTGGAGACTGCTGATATTTTTTTTTTTTTGGGGGGGGGGGATTTCGTTTCATCTGCATGGAGGTTCGAGGAGTCTGATGCACAACTTCACTCCAGAGGCTCGCAGTTTTAAGAGAAGATGAAAGAAATGAACACTGCCATTTGTGTCGATGCTGTTGCAGAATCTTCCACATTATTCTTACCAATAGTCACCAGAAAAGCGTGGACCCTCGAGGTTTTACCACGCAGCTCAAATGTGAGCACCGTTCCCCTTCAACTGGACAATCAGCAGGAGAATTGAAGCTTTCATGCGGACTACTCTGCTCTTTAAGGACAAACGAGTCTCGCTCATTTTTATCAAATGTCCTCAGAATGAATTAAGAGTTTGTCTCTTAGTTTTGTACTCGTGGAAGTGGGCATGGCATTGGATGCCGCATGATCTCTCAAGTGGCGCATTACTTAACTGTGAGGTGGTGCCATCGCCCTCTAGTGTCATAAGAATGCATGGACATTTTGAGGCACCAGGGTTTCTATTTTTTAATCCCATTGAGTTTTGCAAAAATTAAAGGTTATTGAAACAAAGCTTTTGGTATAAGTACAAAATCTTTTCCCACACACAGCTTCAGTTATTATCATTACTAAAGACAAAATCCACCTTTTTGCATCCTGGATTTTAAAAGCTCTTGATTTTCACATAAGCTTTTTATCTATTCTACCTGCAATTCAGTTTTCCAAGACATTCTTAAAGCAACTTCCACAAAAACAAACTAGAAGAGTGAATTTTGGTCAAATTAAATTGAGGCCCAGTTGGGGAAAAAAAAATACTATTGCAGCTGTATGCAGGACGGTATCAGTGCTTCATTTCTCTTTGCCACAGCACAGGGAAGGATAACCACTAGCATTTCCTCTAGAGGTAACTACCAACACATCAAAGGAAATGTGGTTCGTTTAAAAAAATAAATAAATAAAATAAAACACAAAATTCCCCCCAGAGATGCAGATGATCCTGTGGGGAGCCTCCGTCCCACAGTGACGCTCCTTTGCTCCATAAATGACCTCATAACTGCTGTAAAACAAACATGTGGCAATGAAAACAGTTTGGCGTGCTCTGACATTAATGGCAGACTCTGTGCATTACTTCTCACATAATGTTGCCTTTTTTTTTTCTTTTTTTTTTTTTTTCTACCTGGAACTACTTGTACCAAGACACAGTCACACATACATTTACAGCCCACCTTTTTACAACCAGGAAAGACCTTTCACAAAAGTACACCATCAGAACATCCAACAGTGATACCTGTATCGCCGCCTTCTCGTTTTTCCTATCCCGGCCTTGTTACTCTTTCTTCAGCCTGCTCTTCGATAAAGTGAACATACTCTGTAAGCAGAGAGGGAAAACTGGAAATATTACTAAATATGTGTGTTTGAGTGACAACAATAGGAGCATCAGACTGAGAACAGCTCATACAGTTGGTCTGGAAGCAGTTGTGACTACCTTTTGTCCCACACAAAACAATTTGAATAATACAAATAAATTTTTTTTTGGCTGAAAACTTGTCTGCGATGGAGCTCCTAGAATCACCTGTTTCAGTTTGGAGTCTCCATATAGATCAGCTTTCTCGTTGGATAGACTCGTACACTCCCACTATAGATGACGCACAACTGGCATCTCAAAGTTACACTGGACGTAAATGTTGGAGGCTCTCGCTTTCCTCCACTTAAGTAGGTTCAGAATCAACAATCTCTGCGGAGTGTTTATTTTTTTCTACCATTTTTACATCAACAGCCATCTATTATTTGCCAGCAGGTTGTCTTAAGGTATTTTAGAAGTGAGATGCAGAATAGCAGCGCTATGTTGACACTCCGTGTGTTCACCATTATTTATGTAAGATGCAATGGCTTTTTTTTTGTTTTTATTGTTGCAGCAAAATGTTTATTTATTTACCTGGATGTGACTGATTACTTGAAATTTTTAGATATTTTTCTCGGCGCTGTTCAGTACTTTGTTTTTGTTTTTTGTCATTACTTTAAATTCATTGTTCAGGGTGATTAATAGAATTGTAATGACATGACCTATATTGACTTTTTAGTTTTGATTATTCAGCAATGATTTGTTATCATCAGTCTTGTTATGAAGTCATGTTTAAAGCACACTGGCCTCCGTAGTGTTAAAACATTGTCATTCCAAATGATGGCACGCTGGAAAAATGAAAGGTATCTGGGTTTCCCAAAGCATTGATCACTTTGAATTTTTTTTTTTTCAGTTTTCTTTGACAGTTCTGATATTTATTCCAGATATCAAAATTTTCCAGAACACAAAACCTCTAAAGTTGGCTTTCTCGTGGTGTCCTTAAAGAACCATAGACATGAACTAAAGTAATAAATCCACAAATGTTTTGGGAAACTCGGTCAGGTAGAGGACAACATTGTTGTTAAAAAGGAGTTTTAGAAATTAAAGTAAAAATTTTAGATTGGATATAATAAACAATATTACAATAATGGTATCTTTTTAAGAATGAAAAAAGGACGATGCTGTTTTTAATCATTGTATGAATGTGGGAGGAGTCTGTCACTGATGTTTTACTTGCAGAGATTTGGACGAATATGGATTATCACACAAAGTGTTTCACAGTTGCTGGAAGTCATCCTAAGGAACCTAAGGAACACGTGGAAGGTGGAGTAAGTATTTTTGGTTATCGATATTTTTGCCTAACTGAACTGAATACACCTGGGTTGCTCAGGGCGCACTTGAAGCATGTTAAAATTACTAATCTGTCAAAAGACGAGTACACAATGATGACAAACTTGGATATTGTAGTTTAATTAAGTTGAGACTTTTCTCCATTGCATGCACCACCCATTTGCTAGTTGTGATTACTTAAAGTATATATGGAGAAAATCAAACAGAACAAGCAATTTTTAAAGAACACGGTGTTTTTGGTTTTTCCATAATTTGTTTGTATTTTTTTCTGTTTGTTGTTAAAGGCCTGAAATACTGGTTTCCTGAGCTGATTCAACCCCCCTCCCGCACCGCCAAATACACACTCAAATTAGACAAGCGTATATCACTCATGTTGGAGCATGTTGTTAGCTTTGGCAGTCAGGTAACTTGTACCCACAGATCGTGCCTCTGATACACCCCACCACCATTCCTGTGCACCAACTAGGTCTAAGATGTGGACCAATGGCAAAGCTACTGTCCATAAACACTTGATGACTACATATAAAACACACTCACACTCACACTCTGAATCTGGTATAAGCTGTTAGGAATGAATGCTTTTCTCTTCAGCTGCAGTTTTGGTGTGCTTCTGGAGCTCAGACATTTGGCCCTTATTCTGCAAAGGTGGCGCAATCTGTTCTGACTCTTGTGCATTTTCATAACATTGTCATAATGCAAGATAATGTGGCTGTACAAATGAGTAAAAGTAAAAATATGTCTATAAAAATATAAACTTATGTATTTCAGGGAATGCAAAAAAGAAAACGGTAACTTCTCTTTTTGTAAGAGAGAGCTTCTGTATTCATAATGTGCTTTGCTTCAATCTGTAAAGAGTTTAATGGCTGATAAATCTTAATTGTAACCTTTTCAGGTATTTTTGTACAAATAAGGGACTGATATATTCTGTTTATTGTAATTAGAATAAAACATTAATACATTGATATAAAAAAAGACAGTGTTTGTCTTTATGCAGAGAAGCTTCCCTTTCATATGTCTTATTAAAAGTAGCATGTGAAGGTTTCTGTGAGGGACTAACACAGTACATTAAATTGAATGTGAAAAACAAATATAAAGCTATTCTATCTGCTACTTTGGGTAAAACAGATAATTGAGTCAAGTGCTGTATACACTAAATGGACACATCTACTAATAACTAATTTTAGGTGTTTCATTCAGTCCTTTTGCATAAAACAAAACGACCCATTCTTGGGGGCTTTAAGTATTCCCTCATTTCGGGTGTGGTCCTGTAGTAGGAGGCTTCTGTTATAACAAATGTGTGAAATTTCTTCCAGGGCAAAAATTCACACAGACATGCCAAAATCTTGTAGAAAGCCTTCCTGGAAACTTTAAAAATGTGATATCATAAAACCTCGTGTTTTCACCCATGAAGTGTAATACTTGGTTATTCCAGAAGATGGTGCAGTGCTACAGCCAGCTCAAGAGCTAGCAAATAAAGTGTCTCTGGAAGTATTTGATAGATTTAGGATTTAGTACATTAAAATCTCAGAATAAATCTTTGTGATATGTGGTTAGTGGTGCTAAGAAAAGTTGGTAGTTGCGGGGCTGTCATTAAAGGCATCGTGAAATTGCCCTTTGACACCATCTGTCACGCCCTTTGGATTGTGAGTCATGTGTTGAGGCTCAGTTTTGTTGTGGGCAAAGAAAAAGTTTAAAGATTAACATGTCTGCAGCTTCGCAGCCTGCAACCAAAGAAACTTTTATAACATCCGGACACAAGGTGAGTTGCCTATACTTTTGCTTAAAGCTTTTTTGTGCCCACTTTGCTGGAGAGAGTTTAACATTTGTGAAACTCTGAAAGAAATGGATTACTTTATGAACCAGTATTTGTTTTTCCATCTACCTTCTTAATCTTACAGCTCTAAATAGACTTTAATATAGGAGGTGCTATGTCTGTGCATTGAGTGTTTCTGTGTATCAGTGTTGGGAAGGTTACTTTTAAAATGTATTCCACTACAGATTACAGAATACATGCCCCAAAATGTATTTTGTAACGTGTTACGTTACTCAATGAGACAGGAAATGAAACAGGAAAATACCGCCGTGTAATCCATTTATTTCAACAAAGTAACTGTATTCTAAATACCACCTTTTTAAACGGTAACTGTAACGGAATACAGTTACTCATATTTTGTATTTTAAATACTTAATGGCGGTACATGTATTCCTTTACTCCCCAACACTGCTGTGTGTGTAGTTTGCTGCGATTGCCTTTAGGCTGTAGCTCAGGTGGCAGAGCAGGTCAGCCACTAATCAGAAGGTCGGTGGTTCGATCCAGGGCTGCCTCCTGGCTGCATGCCAAATATCCTTGGGCAAGATACTAACCCCATGTTTGCCTACTGGTGGTGGTCAGAGGGCCCGGTGGCGCCAGTGTCCGGCAGCCTCGCCTCTGTCAGTGCGCCCCAGGGCAGCTGTGGCTACAAGGTAGCTTGCCATTGCCAGTGTGTGTGAATGTGTGTGTGAATGGGTGAATGACTGAATGTAGTGTAAAGCGCTTTGGGGTCCTTAGGGACTGAGTAAAGCGCTATACAAATGCAGGCCATTTACCATTTTTACCATTTAGATTGATTGCTTACCTAATATAAAAGTAAATAACATTCATTTAGACTGTGCGTTAACAAATATTGAAGGGGGGGGGGAATCAGTGTATTGACAAATGATGAATAAATAATGTAAAATAAGCATCTTTTCTGTTACCTTACACGGTTGGATGACACCACCTGTCAAACTGTCTCTTTCACTGTCACAGGAAATGTAATCTTTTTCACTCACACACAGACACTCTGTGTTAAGTTCTTATAAGTTCAGCCCAGTGAAAGTGCATGAGCCATCTAGTGGGAAAGTCAAACATGCAGTGAACCTCAAACCTCAATGCTCAGAAAAAAAGTGACAAAAGGGGAAATCAAATAGGTTAGTACCTTGAATTCCAAAGTCACATTTAATGTTAATATAGTGCACATTCGGGAAGCTGAAAGAACCCAGGTGGAGCCGCCCTCTTGATTTACAGTGGGGGGTTTGGCATACTAAATTGCATTGAAAGTTCTTTGGTGTAGTCCAGTAGTTAGCACCTGCTCTGGGAAATATTATAGCAATTCCTGAACTGAGTTAACAAGCAAAATGCAATGTTCTCATTTTCTCAAAGGAAACTATTAAGAAAAGGAGAAAAAAAAGGAGAAGAAAAACGGATATACCAGAATCCCTTTTTGATTGAAATGAA